CCGCCGACCCGCTTGACCCCCCCCTCCCCCGCCCTCGCTATGCCCGGCGAGAGCATTCCCGTACGAGCTGGCACCGTCGGCAGCGAGCAGACCCAGGACAAGGTCATGTGGCTCGCGCTGGGCCTCTGCAAGGCGCTCGTGCGGGCTGTCTCGCATCTGGGCTTTATCGCCCCTACACCAGTGCAGGCGGAGGCCATCCCCGCCGCCCTGAGCGGGGTCGACGTGTGCGCACGAGCCGTAACCGGTTCCGGCAAGACCGCCGCCTTCCTCCTGCCTATGCTGCACTTCCTCCTCACCCAACCTCCGCGGAAGGCCACAACGCTACGAAGCAAGCGACGCTACGTCCGTGCGGTGGTGCTCCTGCCGACGCGGGAGTTGGGGACGCAGTGCGAGAGCATGCTCAAGCAGCTCCTGCAGTTCACGACGGGTGTGAGTGTGGCGTTGGTCATCGGCGGGGTCGCGCCGTCCGCCCAGCAGGCGGCGCTTGATGCGGTGCCGGATGTCCTCATTGCCACCCCTGGTCGTCTGGTGGACATCCTGCATAACAGCAGCAAGAAAGGCGGTGGCGTCGACCTCTCCGGGGTGGAAGTAGTGGTCATAGACGAATGTGACAAGATGCTGACGGCGGTCTTGCGGCCGCAGGTTGAGGATATACTGAAGAGCATTCCCGAAGAGGGTCGGCAGGTACTTCTTTTTTCATCCACCATGACTGAAGAGGTGGACGCTTTTGCAAACGAATACCTCTTTAAACCGCATAATGTTGATATTGGTCACATCGCGCTCCAGTCTAAGCTGCACCAGCAATTTGTGCGTGTGCGAATCCCTGAGGTGGTTCCTTCTCACGGCAGCGACGAAGCCGAGGGCGATACCACGGACAGGGATCGAAAGAAACGAATTCGCTCTAAACGCCTGCGAGAGGCCGAGCGCGAGGGGATGGTGATTCAAGGGGGGGAGGCTGTATCCCACTCCGAGATGGAGCTGGAGCACGTGACGAAAACCAAGTCGCGCTATCTTGTCGCGATGTGCCAAAACTACTTCAAGGGCCAAACGATTATCTTCTGTCGATATCGCTCTACGTCTCATCGCTTAGTACTACTATTCAACCTGCTGGATCTTCCTGCGGTGGAAATTCAGGGTAACCAAACCCAAGATGAACGCTTTGCTTCGTTGGAAAAGTTCTCATCGGGTGCCGTTCGCTACTTGATTACTACAGATGTGTCTTCTCGAGGACTCGACATTAGGGATGTGTCGACGGTCATTAACTTTGATCTACCGCCTACGCTTACGGCGTACATTCACCGTGTAGGCCGTACTGCACGTATTGGTGAATCGGGCACGGCCGTTTCTCTCGTAGATGAGCGCCGTGATGCGGATATCATGCGCAAAATTTTGGCGGTGAGCGGTGCCGTTAACCGTCACCAGGTGTCTTCTGTCAAACGACGCGACATCCCTGAGGAGTTGCTGAAAAAGGCCGAGGCGGATATTGATGGCGTTTTCTCAGTGGTGCGCACTCAGCTTGCAGCGGAGCAGCTGGAACAGCGCATTACCGATGCGGAAAGGCGCTATGCGGGTGGGAGTAGCATCTTAGACCGCATCACTGCGAAACCGAAGAGGGAGTGGTGCCTGAGCCGTGAGGAACGCAAGCGGCGCGAGGCAGAGGCTCGTCAACTTCACGAGAAGGAAGCCGAGGTAACTATGCGTTACTTCCAAGACGAGCTTTCACAACTTGAGCGGGAGGAGATGGGGCTGCTACGGGATCAGAAAAAGCGACGACGAGTGGAAAAGGAGAAGAAGGCTGCCGAAAAGAATAGGGCGAAGGAGAAGGCGCGTGCCTTGCGGCAAAAGAGCGAGAAGAAGGTCCAGGCGGGAGTTGTAAAGAAGCTCAAGCGCCGAAAACTCCGGGAGGCGGCAAGAGAGAAGCGCGCAGAGACGCGTGTCAACAAGAAGCTTCGCCCATCTAAGGGCCGCGACGGCAGGAAGAGTAGTAAGAGGTCTCGTCATACTAAAGGGATGAAGAAACATTAGGGGGGTACCCCACTAATCTTAATTAAGATACATAACAACAATAAGAAGCAGTAAATCATTAGTGCTATACCAATGCCAAGTTGTAGGCTGCTTCTTGAGGTATTTCCGTTTAAGCATGCAATCCCCCTACGCACTTATCTTTCTATGTATAGGGGAGATGCCACCCAACAAAGGTAAACGGTGAGGTGGATGTGTTCCTAAGCAAAACTTTAAAACATTTTTTTTTTACTGACATTAACCAACTGCTGGCTCCCTTTTCTTTCTTTTTCTTTCTTTTCATGTTCTTATTTCCTTGCTGTGAACTTCCATTGAGGTGTCCCTTTGGTAAGGATTCTAAGGAAGCAAATACACACCAACATAATTCACAGGGATCAAGTAACAGGGGTCTCCCTCTTAATTTAAATATAAAAATAATAGATACTATAGAAAGAGAATAATTAAGTGCAATTCTGCAATAATTTGTCAACTTAGTAATATAACTTTCAGTAGCGAAAATAGCACTCAATGCTTTCGGAGCCCACTAATAATCCGGTCTTGGACAACTTGGCATCTGTGTGTGCCGGGGGTCTTGCTGGCCTGTGTTCTACCATCATCACAAACCCTTTAGACACTATTCGTGTAAGACTCTCAGCCGGCAGTTCTGCTACCGGAAAATCCCATAAAAGCCTCATCAAGACAACTAGAGAGCTTTTCCAGGGTGGTCTTGTGCATGCATTTAGTCGTGGTCTGGGTGCTAATATCATGGCTTCCATGCCATCTAATGCCGTCTATCTACCAACCTATCACTTTTTAAAGCGGAAGATGTGTGAATATGGCGTGAATGATGAGATTCGACCCATGATATGCGCCTGCGGCTCCGTGATGGTTACCAATTACACACTCGCTCCCCTTTTTTTAGTGCGTACTCGCGTCCAAGTTGACTCCAGGATTTCTATTCGCGAAGTTTTCCTAGACGTGATTCACCGAGAGGGTATGAAGGGTTTCTACCGTGGCACACTCACAAATGTGTTGGGTCGTTTTGTTGAGGAGAGTGTTTTTTGGACTGTCTACGAACTTTTGAAGCGTATCACAAACGAAGGGACTTTTACGGGACGCAATTTTATTTGGGCTTCTGCGGCTATGCTGTCATTAACTGTGGTGGGTAAACTTGCAGCGACTTGCGTTGCTTATCCATATAATGTCATCATGAATCATATGCGCACGGTCAACAAGCTCACTGGCAAGCATGACTACGTCCACGTTGGTGCCACCATCCGGCACGTATATCATCAAGATGGCTTAGTGGGCTTCTACAAGGGCCTCTCTCCACAGTTAATGCGTAATCTTATTAGTAAGGCAACGCAAATATACTCGTTTGAGCTACTGATGTTTGCTTATGCAGGAATGCGAACAAAGAGTCACCACCTCACCATTGACAAGCTAATTGTGCCACAGCCTCCTGCCCCGTTGGAAGATTAATGGTTTAATTAGTTCAAGACTAACAGAAGCACATCTTTTTGTATTTTCTTTTACAAGGGCGAGGAGCAGTTGTCGGAGTGTACATCTCCTCCCTCGGCATTGTTGCTGTTCATAAGGCTTCTGTGTCGTTTGGAAAATTAAAGTCGCACTATTATTAATTTTTGGCTAAATGTTTAGTTGTGTTGGGAAGTGTGTAGCTACATTTTCTTTAATCCATAGAAATTATCTAAATGGGCAAGTCCAATTTCTCAGCATCTTCCCTTTGCAGATCATTATAGTTACTTTTTTTTTCTCCTGTAATCGTTATTTTCTTCATATCATATTTTTTCCCCCATGATTATCGTCAAGAAGGAAATATGAATACTAACACATATAGATGAACTATGAGCTTTATCGACTGCCTATATCCATACTTATAAAGTCTCGTTCTCACTTCTGCTTGGTTACTTGAGTCTGAAATAACACGTCTAAAAAACATAATGCCTTCGTTAAGACAACTAACTAAAAGGGAGTTTTCTGCTCCTCATTATGTGTTTAAATACCACACAAGGCAATATCATCAAACGAGCATGTGATATTGCTTTATTATCTCATATAGTCTTTAACTTTCTTCTTACTGCTCCTCTATCCTTCTTTGAGGGTTTCAGGGCTAAAAGAGCTTCAACCCCGGTCACACAATTGTTTAGGCTTTGTCAATTTCTGCAATGCCCCCCAAACAGCCAAAATCCAATCTTCTCGAGGACAATGAGGGTATCGTCTCTTCTAGCAAAGCAATCCTTCGCTTCGGGGCACAGATATATGAGGAGTACTCCCGGACACCATTAGCTACCCGGAGGGATGGTCTGCAGCTCAGCCGCTTTGGGGACTACCTTCACCACTTCGGCTTCTCCCTGGAACTAGAGGCGGCTACGCGCGAAGGCTATGCGACGCCGATGCCCAATACTAAAGTGCCGAAGGTACACGCTAAGGAGACTCTCGACAGGGAGGGACTTCCATCGATTGACACGGCGGAGATAGACACTTATAGTAGCCATATGGCTTCTGAGATGCGTGATAAGCTGCCTACGATGGATCTTGGCGCACTCGCGGTGTCGGTGAGCGCACCCTACGACGGTGCATCATGGCGTCAGACCAAGGAGGGGTGTGAGCTGATGAAGGTTCGATGCCTGTATCAGTGGCTCTGCGGGTATTTCGAAATCTGTCTACATGAGCTTGTTGATCCTCAAGGGGCTGGTGAAAAGAGAGACGAAGACTCTACGAAGCCCACGGAGAGCTTTCCAGGCGCACGCACCAAAGCAGCGACAGGCCGTCCCAACGTCAATCTCCGAGCGACGATGCTTAAAAACAAAAACCAGAAAGCGGTGGTTGTAGAGGAACCTGCGCCACCACCGGATCCCATCGAAACGGCCTTGCGGACTCACGTGGCCACCCCAAGAACGGTGGCCGTCATTTACCAGCGAATGCTGCAGGCAGTTAACGTGCCCTGCGAGGTGGTAGAGGGTTGGCTTAAGGGGTATGCCCCGGGAGAAGCCTTTGAGTGGACATGGAATCGCGTACAGGTCTATGGACGGGATTACCTCGTAGACATCGCCGGCTCCATCTATCGAGGGCCACTGCGCTGCACCGGGCAACCTGTGAATCCTTTAGGTTTGCTTTCGAAGGGTCAGGGGTCATTAGGGGCCGCCACCAGCCACAAAACGGCTGGTCCCCTCAATCTAGGCAAACGACAACCTGAGAAGAGGGACGTCTCTGTTGGGTCTACTAGTACCACTCGTTCGATATCGCAAGTAGAGCTACCAAACGTATCCCTTGGCAAGATGCCACGGTTTCTCACCACTCAGCAAGTTGTTGACTCCTATTTCTTTGTGTGCCCAGAACATTTCATTCACACACACTTCCCTCGAGATCCAAGGGATAGCCTGTTGAAACAGCCACCACCCCGCGTTGCTTGGGATGTGTCGCCGCGCCTTGCGGAGAGCTACTTTCGCCACAGTGGTTTGAGTTTGCGTTCTCATTGTCGTACCAGTCTCTTGTCGTTTTGTACGTCACCCTTTTACATTACTTTTCTTAACGAGACACCTTCCACGACAGAGCTGTGTTGTGTGTTGTACCCAGGGACCTTGAAAGAGCTTCCGGAAGATTTGAATGGCGCTCAGCCACTGGGCCCACAGTGGGTATGGAATCAACGCCAGGAGAGTACCTGTGAGGAGACCTTCACTTTGATGGTGCCCCAAAGTGGCTTTTATTGCGTTGTCATCGGTGCACGGCTAATACGTGCAGATCCTTATAACAGTACTGTGGTCAGCGCAGAAGAGTTTATCCCGCTCGTACGGTATCAAGTCAAAGTAAAATTCATACCATCCTCCATCCCTTTGTTACCGCGGCAACATCTGTCTCCTGTCATCTGCCGTCTTATCTCGCCGCTCTCGCAGCAGCTTCAGGAGGGGAAGCACAAGTTTGCTGTGATGCCCTCTTGTAGCAACATCAGCGCAGTTGCGGTTGTGGTGTGCCGCCCTGGAAACAGGGAGACCGCAGACTCAGACACTCGGAGAGTGCAGCAGTTCCTGCGCTTTCTGCCGGAGCGAGCAGCCTACGAGGGTGAGGTCATGCTGCACGCTGGGCATTTGGTCGAGGTATGGGTGCTCTACGGCGGGCCGGATCGAAATGGTCAAACATTCGAAGAGCGTGTGAAGTTGGCGCGGCCTGCCGCCGATGGTCATTCATCCTCTGCTCAGAATCCACAGGCCGCCGTACCTCGAATGAAAAGGCCTGCGAGTTTTAAAAAGAAACCCTTAAAAAGGGATGTGGCTGCTGCTGAGGCCAGCGTTATGATAGAGGAAACACGTTCCCTTGCCCGACGCCTGGCAGAAGCTCAGGTGTTTATACCCATGATCACTAATATTGAGGTAAGGCTTTTATTATCCAAGGATGTGGATACAATGATCCAACCACAGCCCTCGATAGAGGTAGAGCGTGCGGCAACCTGGCGACGGTTAATGGGCAATACCTCAGAATTACATCGAGAATCTGTTGATCAACAACAGCGTTTGCCGCGCATAGGTTGTGTGGGGACCTACTTCAATGGAAGGGCCACAAGCGTATAATACCGTTTAGGTATATATCAACTACGTTTTCCTGCACTTTGCTTTTCCCTCTTCCATTTTCAAGAGCTATTTGATGATTTCTTTTTCACGATGGGAAAGAATCTTGTGCCAAACTCATGTAAACTTTTTGAAGAAAGCGGATCTTCCTCCCTGAACCTCATGTTCATTCATATGGAAAATTTGCACTTTCATGATGCAACAAATTGAGGCTTATTTATTCTTAATCAGTCCGATCAATGATCGCTTCTTGACTTCAGCATTGTGTGATGTAAACAGGGGCGATGTTTCTTCCCTTATTCCTCTCAGATTCCCGCAGCACACACACACACACACACACACACACACACACACACTCGACAAACATATATATATATATATATATA